CAAAAAGATTATTTGAATGAATTTCCTTTCTTACAACTTTAGAGAAATATTATTCTACAACTACAAAAGTACAGACCACCAATTCATCGAAGAAAATCTCATTTTTCAACAACTGATTATCAGTAGATAGAATGAATTCCCTTTATTCGCCTTGTGACAAAAGATCATTTGAATGAATTACCTTTCTTAAAGTTTTAGAGAAACCTTATCCTACAACCACAAAAACACAGATCCACTATTCATTGATGAAAATTCCATTTTTCGACACTTATTATAGTGTATAAATAAATTCCCTTTTTTCGCCCTGCATAAAACCTTAAACTCCAACAAGATTGCATAACAAAGATCGTTTGAATGAATTCCCTTTCTTAAAACTTTATTCTACAAAGGTACAAACCTGCCAATTCATTGTAAAAACATTTCCTTTTTCCAACAACCGATTATCAGTGTATAAACAATTCACCTCATCCTTCATACCATCAGTCCTTATATCGTGTATTATCTTCCATCTTGATAACGACACATCTATTAAGAAATGTTGACAGGTATGCTGGAATTGAAAATAATAGTAATTAATTTAAGTTGTTCTTAAATGGTAATTAATCTATGATTCTCTAAAAATGGTCTAGTGCAGATCTGTAAATTACATTGCTTAAAGGATTTTTCAACAATACATCTATTAAGAATGTCACCAAATATGCCAGAATTGGATGGTAATTAATCTATAATGCTAAAAGAGGTTAGTGTAAATCTGTCAATCATATTATTTAAAGGATATTTCGGTAGTACATGATTTAGATTTTGTAGAATTTATATGTCAGTATAATCAAGGAACTAGCTGAAAATAGAAATAAATATAAGGATAACAATTGGCTAATCTGAGATAACAAGCATTGTAACGGTAACTGGAAAAAAGAAAACGTGAAAAGGAAGAGCAAAAGGTTACGATAGTAACAACGAATAGATGATAAATAACTAATTACTAACCAAAAGATTCATTTTACTAAGCAATTAACTTCAAGGTTATCAACTAAGTACATTTTGCTGAGCCATCAACTTATAAGGTAACTATTACTGAGCCATTGATTCAACTTTAGATATAAATGCATAGATTGCTAGACTAGGACATATATAAAACTGATTCATTTACTGAGCTATTTGTCAAAAAATATAGTCGACACTCCGTATATCAACACCTCTAAATGTCTTACATGAAGATTTTTTGGCAACAAAATCTCTTGATATATGGGATCTTTGCTACGAAAATCACCCTTCGGCATTTTCTGATCGGGATAATTCGGACAAACTTTGATCCACATATCAGTTCTTATTTGCATATAAATCATCTTTGCCTTTATTGACTCAAAAGTATATTCGATAAGCTTTTGAAACAATAAAGAAAAACGATGATTTATGTGCAAATAAGAACTGGTATGTAAATCAAAGTTTGTCCAAATTATCCCGATCTGAAAATGCCAAAGGGTGATTTTTCTAGCAAAGATCCCATATGTTAAATATTTATAGATATTTCACAGACAATTATTTCACTGAAAGTTTTTTTAAAAATTGCACTAACATTAACTAATTCTAAACCTGACACTAACGACAATGACTAGAATTACTTTGTTGGTGAGTTGACTGTCGGTGAAATAATTGTGATGAAATGAACTTGTCGGTGAATTGTCAGTGGAATGACCAGGACCGTCAATAAATTGGTTCTTTATTGCTCATATAGTTTTCCCTGTTGAGGCGATAAGTTGGTATAATGTGCTATCAATAAAATGGCGCATAGATCATACAACAATATGGTTTATTTTATTTATGTTTATCAATTAATCTATTTACACCTATTATATTAACAGATACAGTCTGCCCTCTATGCACTCATTCTCCATAGAGTCACAACCTCTATATAAGCATACTAATTTTTAGAACAAACTTATATAAGACATAAGAAATTTGACCTCTATACAGGCACAATTTCTTATAAGCACACAATTTCTTGGAACCAAGAGCGTGGCTGTAGAGAGGTTTGACTGTAAAACCAAAAAGCCAATTATAAACCATAGTCAAACCTATTTACAGTCACGTTCTCGGTTCCAAGAAATTCTGTGCTTATAAGAAATTGTGCCTGTATAGAGGTCAAAATTCTTATGTTTTATATAAGTTTGTTCTAAAAATTAGTTTTTATTTATACACCCATTACAGATCAGGTGGTATGATTATTTGATTATTGCTCATACAAGGATCTGCATTTAAGGTTTTTTTTTGTCTGAATGTTTTGTACTTCACATACGCTTTAATTAGGATGTTCAGACGTTATCAATGCTAATAATTGTAGGATTACTTATTCTTCTGGTTAGTTGTAGTTCCTTTATTTGCAAAACTGCTCGTTGGTTTGCATTCCTTATTTTAATTATTTTTCTCTATACAGGGCTCTATAGCCTTATTGATTGGCCTTAATATCACCTGTTCGTGCTCTTCAATTCTTAATTTTCAAAATGGATCTTGAAAAAGTTTGAATGTCTTTATAAGTGTGTATATGCTTATTTGTATATATAAGTTATATACTGCATAAATCAATGCTAATTTGTTTTCAGGAATCAATATAAATCTTTTTTTTAAATAAATTTGGCCTGTAAGTATAGACATTATTTATTCATTATTAATATAGTAAGTCAAGTTCATCAATCTCTAACTTATAATATATCTTTTATTCATATTAAGTTAGTTGACCTTATTATTTTAAACATTCATTTGTTCAAGTGTTTTCCAATGTGTAGTTAGAGTTTGTTTGGTCTATAGTTGTTAAGCGAAATCTAGAGGCTTTGCATTGTCAAAAGCCAAAACCCTAGTTTTGGCTTTCGCCAAAAAATTCTAAAAAGGACAGAATGGCGAAACTGGCAAAACATAGTGAAACTGGCGAAACTAACAAAAGTTGGCAAGACTAGTAAATGAAAGCTAAATATTATAGGTGCATTAGATTAGTATAACGTCAAGATTAAATAATGTATGTATCATTTCCTGGAAATACGTTAAACCCACATTTAACAGTAGCATAATTTGTTTTAGCAAAATATAGGATTGTGCTTCTACCCAGTGTTTTAAACTTTCACGAAGTTTAGCATATGTCACAAAAAGTATTGGTCCTGTGATTCCTATACCAAATGCGTCAAATCTATAGCTTATCGTTAAATACCGTAAACTGCCGTATACAAGACTCCCCATATATCAGACCCACCCTCATTTTTTAATAATTATTTTCTTTTTTTTACTAATTTTTTTGGTAGAATATAAGAGACCCGGGTTGTGTATATGGTAGTTTACGGTATGTAATAATTATATCTTGGGCAGTTGGGTTTAAGCAAATTTTGCAGTAAAGTATAATCGGCTGCGTAAGCGGCTGATTATACTTACTGCAAAATTTGCTTAAACCCAACTGCCCAGGATATATTACTATAATATACCGGTATATATCTATCGTTATCTATACAGTAGTTTAATTTAAGCTTGAATTAGGTGATCATAGAACTGACACTCTTTGTGAGATATCTTGATGTTTCACTAGCATTATTGACATTCACCAACTCATATGTATCTTTGGTGGGTATTTTAATAGCTTATCTGGGTAATCGTAATATGCTTATGCATGTGTGCCTTCTAAAAATAAATAGATCACCAAAAAGCTAAATTTTTATATTTTGATTCTGTGTGGATTGAAGATGCTTGCTACAAAGTATCGCTTTAGAATTAGTTGCAACTTTTGCGAACCCTCTTTTTGCTGTGAAAAGATTTAAAATCGCAAAATCACAAGATCGAAATCTATGTGATTATCGTTATTAATAAAATGAATATCAAAATTAATTTTATCTTTGCAATGTCATATAATTTAAAATTTGGTAGATATTATATTACAATCGTATTTTGTAAAAATGAGATTCAATGTAGTGATACAAATAGTTAAAATTTTTCAATCGATTAGTTGTCAACTAAGCCAACTAACATATAGGAGGACTTTCTCATAATTGGTCAATCACATGAAATTGAATATTAACTTATAATTTGCTAAACATTCGAACATGTGATAATTAATCAATAAAATTTAAAATTTGTATTTATTATCGTTAGTAAAGCTTTCAAACGATTTTTTTCTTTATTCAAATATTCTTTGTGCTTTAAATTTTTTTTATTCTATATAATGAAGTGTCACTATTC